TGTAGAGTGGAGTGGTGGAACTGTGGAGGTGTGGAGAAGTCTGCTGCTGCGACCCCCTCTGTCTCCCTTTCTCTCCTTATCGCCAATTGTGACCAGGTTTATATACTAAGATGGCCAGCTCATTGCCGAACTGCTCATTACTATGGGATATGTCCGTGCTCTGCTTCCAGAGACTAGAAGCATATCTGAAACATGTCTGAAATCTGAAACATGTAAGAGAAAAGTAGCCTGTTAACGCCGTAACCAATACCCTGCTACCGCTATGCTCGTTCGAGTGGTTCGTCCTCAATCATCGGTACCGCCTTCACTCCTTGGTACTTCTGGAAGGTGCACCAGGCTGCTGCTGTCCTCCTGATCATGCCTTGCTCAGTTGAGACTGTCTTTGCCAGCTCCGACCACCTCGTGTAGTACGCATGTCTCAGAGGCAATCAGTATGATAAAGGGTCAGTCGGCCATCTGGGCTTTGCCTGCTGCTTGCCTCATGCTTCATGCTCAGCCCATTCCCACACTTCTCATCTCCTCCCCACTTCGATCTTGACCATCCTTGGGCAGTCATAACCACGTCGGCCCCCCCTCTCCTTCTGTCTTGGCTTGATCTCCTCGTCACCGTGCTGATCATTTCGATGAACGTGCCAGAATTCCCCCAAATTGAGTACCCTACTCAAAACATCCTGTTCCTTCCACGCCTGTTTGAGGGGCTCTTGGACACCATTCTCTGCCTTGAGGGCAAGGAGCCACTCTGGTGTTACTATCTTGTCTCCACCGACAACTTCATTTGCGACGGCGCTCCCTCACCGACCAGCTCCGGCGAAGAATGGGGTGCATTTTTTGCCAATCTGAAAGATCAGTCAGTATGTGCCAGATGTTACCAGACTAGATGCTGGACCTGATCTGGCTGTCCCAGATCATGTCAGCTCACACTATGGGCCTCTGCAGCCACTTCGTTACTACTGCGGTGCAAACGGTCCTCGACCGATACACTTTGTTCGCCAAGCTCGACTGGCTACCGTGGTTGTCTTTCATGAACATCGATCGGATCGCCCTACTAAAGTGCTTGTCTCTTGTGAGCGAGCCTGTATGGACCCTGGCGGCTGCCAAGTTGGCTTTCAATGAGCTATATATCAAAGCTTTAGAGTGAACTATAGATGGTAATACCGCTTGGTGGATGGCTAGCAATAGATGGCTGGTGGTTGACCCCTCTGATTCATCCATTCATGACCTGCGCTGCCCGACGACTTCTGTCACAGTGGAGGGTATCTGCTTTCTTTTTACCCAGCTGGGTATTAAGTGCAATGACCTCTATCCTCCGTTGGGGTTCAGTACAGTAATGGCTTCCTTTGGCTTAATGTTTCTGGGGTTCTCTGTCTGAACGAAGCTGTCGACTGGTACTCCCCTCTACGGCTCTTCCCCTGCATGGCTTGCACCCGAGTGCTTCGCCCCGCAGCCACATTTTGTGACTATACACAGGCAATTGAAGCATCATGCCATGCACTCTCCTGAACCCCTCTCTGGTGATTCTGAAAGTGAGGATGGCAGCGTCGCACCTCTACCTCCCGTGGATGATGATTCTTATCCTGTAGCACCGGACACGTTGTCCAATGATGTTGGTCCGTTCATTTCTCGTGTGGTTCCTGTGCCTGCATCTATGGATACCAAGTGTCGTGCTGGGCATTTTCTGGCCTATCTAACTGTGAATTGGCTGAAGATTCCTGCCTATGATCAGTCGGCCTTGATTTGGTTCCACCGAAAGGAATGCACTCCTGGCCCAGTACGTTCATTAATGCTGTCCTCATTATTGTGCAACTGGTGACCATTTATCTCTAGTGTCTTCTGTGCAAGGGAAATTCATTTCCCTGCTTGTTCCTCACTCACCCCAAGCACTGCTTGTTCTGTTCCGTGCATGGTCATGCGTGCTCTGGTCCGGTACCAGCCTTAGATTGCCCTGGTTCATCGGATGCTCTGCTCGGTGACTGATCACATCATTCTAACACCCTTGCCTCCCTCAGCCAACCCCTTTACCGAGGCAGTCCTCAGTGTGCTCCAGGATGTCAGCCCAACTCCACTTTACTCCTCCTTCATGATGAGGTTCATGAGTACGGCTTTTAAGCAGAAAATTAATGAACTTGAACTTGCAATAAAGGCCCTCTATTATATCGCCCAATGTCTTCCGTCTGGGTTTGACGTGACCATGGTGATCTGAAAGGCCATCGAGAAGTGTGGCGCAGAAATTCTGGCCTTGCCTCATTTGAACCCGTCGCTCGACCTGGCCCCCAAGCAGCTCACTCCCCAACCTCACTCTACCCATCTAGCCCCTGCAATGGGTTTCGCTGTTCAGTATGTAAAAGTTGGGTCGAGTAGCTGGCATGACAAATCTGAGGGAGATGATGGGGAAGACTTCGAATCATTTCCTTCCTCCTAGACCATGTCGTTCTCTTCTTGTTCTATTAGTTGTCTGCCTATACTAGCACTCTGCTATCTAGCCCATTTCCCTTGTAGCATTCGGTCGATGCTTCCTTTGTTGGCCTTGATCCTGGGTCTCTGCAGGCCTGGGCAGCATGAGTCTGGCTCACCCTGGTGATTGGTCCCAAGCGGACTTGCTTCCGTCCAACTCTGACCCCGCTCCTGCCTTTTACTTACTTGCTCACCTCGTTAGTTGCCCTTCACCCCTCTCGCTGCCGTCGAGTTCATTATGTCTTCCTCTCGTTCATCATCTCCTGCCCTCGACACCCTCATGTGCTCGGTGGCCACTGCACCTGCAGCCTCTGCCACGGATGCTCCTCTCACCACTGAACTTTTCCTTCCTCAGCCCAGTCCTCGTTCCTTGCCCTCACCTTCCATGGTGGTTCCTCCACCTTCTCCTGTCATCGAGAAGTCCACGCCATGGGCGACCTACACATCGCCTGGTGAAGAGCTCACCATCGAGGGCCATGAGTCTTTGTGCACCAGCTTTCTCGGCCACTTGCAGTCACCAGCGCTGATGCCGGTACATGCACTCGAGTTGCTGTGCAAGATTCACCGCCTGCTCATATGTTCCCTGTGGCTACCCTATAGACTCCGTTGGCTAACCGCATCATCCATTTCAGAAGGAAGTCTTCGAGTTGTGTGACTCCAATTTGGCTATCAACGTGTGCATGGATGGGTATATTTGCCTCCTCTGGCCAGTCCTTGAGCCCTATGCTACTGCCACCTGGTTACCCTGGGACATTCCATTTCTTAGCCTCCCATGAGTATGGGAGTTGCTTGTAGAGCTTCCCGTGGTAAGCATCAGTCTTCTGACTGACCCCTTTTTCTCCTAACACCGTTTAGGCTCAGTGCCACAAGCTTGAGGTTGGTCTGGATGTTATGCGGAGGGCTCATGATGTTCCCAAGGATGGGGCACTGCCAGTTACTTGGGACTCGCTCGACTTCTTTGCTTTTGCCACCATGGCTGTTCCTGCCGACACTCCTCCTGTTGTTTTGGCTAGACCTCCCTGACCGACTGACCAGGCTTCGAAGGCCAAGCCTGCTCTTGTTTCGAAAGCCAGGCTCAAAGTTTTTGTCATCCTGGATGATCCTCGTTTGAAGGCTAAAGGCAAGGTCTGTGCTCGCTCACCCACGCCCCTACCCCCTTCTCCTTCACCATCCATTCCTTCTAACGAAAACTACATTTCTTCAGAGTCTGAGGCCATGGTGGCCCTTGCCACCCCCAAGGCACCTAGCCCTCCACGGCATTCCACCAAGTCTGCTGCCTTGAAGCGCATCCGGGTTGAGTCTAGTGAAGGGGAGTCCAAGCCCGACTCTCCTAGCGACATCGAGATGGTGAAGTCCAAACCTGCCGTTGCTGTCGTTGCTACAGCTTCTTCAGCTAAGGATCCTTCTGTGAACCCGCCGTTCTCAATTCAAAACCCAGCTCATCCACCTATGTATTTCCCGGCCTGGCGCGCACCCATGCATGCTGTTCAGGTATGCTGTTCTGGCTTGGTCTCATCTGGGCTCGCTAACCCATTATCGCTCGGTCGCCTCATGTCCCCAGTGCTTCCACTGCTTCAAGCAGGGCATACCAAATTTCTGCTTCTTGATGGAGAACAAGCTGCAGTGCCTCAAATGTCAGCGCATCGGTCAGCCATGCCACTTTTGGTGGCTCGCCTG